CCCCAAGATGACCAAGCTGAACTGTGCAGGAAAAAGTGATTTCTTTCCGCGTTCTAGAAAGAGTCACTGTGTACTAAATACAACACTAAGTTTTACATAGGCCAGATGGTCTTTCCTTCACACTTAACCTAGGCATGTGGCTATGCCTCTAAATGTCCACACCTTTCTTGAGCATTGTTCTGCCACCCTAGGGTGGTCCCATTTATAGTACATGTTTGTGATATATTAAGTTACTGAACTCCTGGGGGAGAAAGCAGACCTGGATTTTAATTCCCAGTGTTTCCAATGGTGCCAAATCCATTGTGTTTCCCCACAGTGGTGGCTTAATACTTGGTGGGGGAAAAAAGAGACATGAAGGGTCTTCTCTAAGTGAATGAAGGAAAACCAAGTTGAAGGTGACTTTTGCAACTTTGGAGTTAATGGGATTTGTCAACATCTTGGGCCTCACCTGATTGCTTGGTGAGAGCAGCTGAGACGAGCAATTCATTTCCTACTGTAACAGAGAGGCCTGTGGGTGACTTACCTTGTCTAGGATAATCCTTTTATAGACATTCAGGATCATCCACTCAATGGTTCAGTAAAGACCCAGAAAGCACCGAAGGAATGAGATGAGAAGGATGAAATAAATTCTCGATGAGACCTTTTACACAAAGCACTGTGAACTTGGGGGAGGTTGGAGAGGGGCAACACTGGGAATTCTGCAGACCCTCTTGTATAATAAGATTGGGTATACTGAGATGAGTCCTGCATTTTTTTAAAAAAAGATCTTTACCACACAACTTCTAGATGTTCAGACCTGGGAAATCAGAGAAATTCAAGGAGGCTCTTCAGTATGCTTCACTCCTGATTCAAAAGCTGTTTCACATACCTCAAAGCCTCGCTTTCTGCCTGGTGGAAAGAGTCTAAGGTAGAGAATCAAGAGACAGTTCTGTCACCTACCAGCGATCTGACCGTCGACAAGAAAGCCACTTAGCCTCTCTACTTCAGCCTTTTCACTGGGGAAACAGGGCAATTAGCACTTGGTGCAAACTTGCATGAACATTGTAAAACTAAGGAGGACCACCAGACTCGGCCACAGAGCAGGCTGCGGCTTCCTTTCATAGGGGATACGTGTCCTCACCATTCGCTAGATGACAGTTAAGGAATCCAGAAGGTGTCAAAATTCAAAGACAAAGCCCATGGTTAAGTGGCTAGAGACCTAGAGAATCCATAGTGCCCCAAGCTTTCCCAGGTACACACCTGCAAGCCAGGTCCTGAACTTGGAAGACGGTACTAGCATTCTTTCAGAACCCACAGTCCCAACTGTGGCCTGACCGACCCTGCACCTCACTGCACTGTCTGGCTCTTAGCTTCCTTCTAACCCCAAGTCATCTCCTCGAGAATTCCATGCACTGCCCATCTCAACTAGTCAGGGCCACCTAGCACTAGTCATCTTCCATCAACTGTGCATGCCCTATGCCCATATGCATATTCTCTAGGGTACCAGGGGTCCATGGCAAGGTTCAGTTCCATTCCTACCCTTTCTAGGCTCCTCACTGGTCCACGAATACCAGATCTAAATGATACAACCAATTTTCTCAGTGCAATCCTTCTCAAGAAATCAAACTCAGTTGACGATCCAGACTACCACTGGTGTTTTGAGTTGGTGCTGGTGCTGGTGCATAGAATGGGACCATGTGAACTTGAGTGTTAAGGAGAAAGGATGGTGGCTTCCATTGTGCTACCCATGGCAAATGTCCTTTTACCCAATTCTTTGGATAGCAGAAATTAAAAACAAAACAAAACAAAACAAAATTCTAAGAGTTTTTGAACAAGAAACCGCAAGAAAAACTCACCACAAAAGACCTGCCTGTATTTCCTCCTGACAGGATGTTAACTTTTCAAGGAAGAGTGTCTCAGACTTGTGTGTGTGAAGCTTTCACAGGTGCCATGTAGATGACAAGAACAAATTCAAGCTGTGGGAGACTCCTGACATGTGGATGCTGTGCAAGCCGATGGCAGCACTTAGGCTCCTGGACTCCTGTCTGCTACAGTGGCCATGCCCTTCCCTGGCTATGGCCGGTAGGCTCAGGTCTAGGGTATGGAGACATCTGGGTATGCGCTCACGTTTCTCAGGTGCATGTGTTAAAGGAAACGGCACGCAATGGGAGAGGATGAGTCCACTGTCTTGACTTTGTCTTACTCTCCTCCAAGTCCTCACAGAGCAGGGTGGGTGATGGGGAGGGCACTACATGACCTCAATATCTTAGGATTCCTTTGATGCCCATAGGTACTTCAGAGCCTAGGGAGGGGATTGCTCTCCCAAAATCCACTCTGTTAGTCACTAGATATGATTGCCAAATTACCATGCTGGAGCCCCAAATACTAATACTATTTTTTTAAAGTCACAGGTGCTGCTTCTGTGATTTATTATACTCATTTGATTAATTTCACTATTCAATTTTAGGTTGCCATACAATCAAGAGGTTTCAACCCAGCATCTGCACACGCATGTGTCAGTATTAAAATCATAACAGCCGTTTTACTTAGGCTTGGTAAGGCATCTTCTGTCACGTGGTATAGACTGCATTGGTGTTCACCCAAGAAAGACAAGTGCAAGGGAGCTAGAGTGGCTGTTCATGCCACACTAAGGTGTCAGCCAGGCACTATTTCTGAAGCGGGAGCAATGTAAATACTGACACAAACTTTCAGTCTGCACTTCTGATTGCAGAGGGAAACATCCCAGGAAGCCTGCAGAGCAGCTCCTGTCATGCAGCTGGGAATGGCATCCAGGGGCATGTAGGGAATGGTGGGCTCAGTTCATGGACAGCCTACCCCTTAGCTCTCTGAGGCTTCTGGTTTGTGGCATGTGTGACAGATGACTATGGGATGCCTTCTTCAGGACTGTGCAAGAGGCCCCTAGAGCAGACATGTGGGGTCAGCAGCTCTGAGGCTCAGGCCTTTGGCTACTGGTACACTCCTACTGAGGGCAGCGTGGGAGATGAGGAGGAGCGTAAAGGACTCCCTTGACTTCTAGTGACCATGGCTGAACTACACCTCCCCCCCCCCCCGAATTTATGCAAAGTGGTGTTCCCAGTCCTGATGATTCTAAAACCAAAATATCTATCAAGTCTGAAAAAATGCTGAAGATGCTCTATGTCTTGTGGTATCTGACACCCAGATAAGAGAAGCATCTATGCCATGGGCATGCAGATATGCTCTTGTTTCCTAAAAATGCATGCATGCGTGCGTGCGTGCGTGCGTGCGTGCGTGCGTGTGTGTGTGTGTGTGTGTGTTTACATGCTATGCATATGCAGTGCCCTTATGCCCATATGGAGGCCAGAAGAGGGCACTAGAGCTCTTGGAGCTGGTGTGGCAGGTGGTTGTTGGTTATCTAATGTGTGTCGGGAATCTGGTCTTCCTGGCAGCAAGTGCTCTTAGCCACTAAGCCATTGCTCCAGCCCCACTTTTGTCCTTAATAAATGGTAAAAATTGTACGTATGCAAAAGAACAGTTTTTAAAATACATTCTCATTTACTATTTATAGATCTGAATATTTTATATATCTTTATACCTGGGGCCTCAAAAATCCCTTTTCAGGTAGAAATGAATCCCAGGAGAGGTTCAAAAGCCCCGTGCCATGGCCCCATGTGTATCTCAGATGACAGTGATAAAACAGGAGTCCACAAGCACAGGGGGAAGCAGGGGTCAGTGCTGCACAGGAGTGAGAAACAGAAAACACATTCTTTTTTCTTCTAAAAATTTTATGTGCTTATTTGTATTTTATGTCCATTTGTGTTTTGCCTGCATGAATGTCTGTGTGAACAGTTTGGATCCCCTGGAACTAGAATTATAGATGGTTGTGAGCCACCACATGGGTGCTGGGAATTGAACCTAAGTCTTCTCTCAACCAAACAGCATTGTTAGCAGGAAGTGTTTACACAGCTGCCTTTAATTCCCAGGGCAACATGCTTGCTAGACTCATACAACTGCCATTTAAGGAGTAAAGAGTCCTAAAGACCACAGATGGTGCTCCAATGGTAGAATCGCACACAATCTGACTTTAGAAGTGTACGCTGTGATGTACACATCCTGTACTCAGGAGGCTGAGGCTCCATAGTGAGACCCAGACGCAAAAATAACTAAACAAACAAACAAATAAATAGAATGTTAAAATGTGGGGAAAACATTGCCTTACACCAACAAACTACAGGCATCATAAAAATGACATACTGGCAGTGGGTCAGATTAATACTTTCCAGGGGGAAAATTATACAGATGACTTTACTAGAACTTACTTTCCATTAGAAAGTGTCAGTGAACTGAGGGGCGGTCTCCACAGAAACACCCAAAGCTTCTGAGTGTGTGCCGCCCACTCTCCCAGCCTTGCTTGGGACACTGTTGTGATTTCCAATCTGTGTGTTTCTGTGGTACCTGTATGCTCATGTGGAGGACATGGGACAACCATGGGCATTATTCCTCAGGCACTGTACACCCTTTTTTTGTACACCCTTTTTTTTGTTTTGTTTGTTTTTTGCTTGTTTTGGAAGCAGGGTCTCTCAATGACTTGGAACTTACCAAAGTAGAATAGGCTTGCCAGTGAATGCTAAGGATCTGCCCGCCTCCACCTTCCTTGTGCTCAGATTTACAAACACATACCATCATGCTTGAGTTATTTAGGTGGGTTCTGGTGCTCAAACTCTGTTCCCCATATTTAGAAGGCAAGCACTACAGAGCTATCCCCCAAAGCTGCCATCTTTCTGTCTGCTAGGATAGGCTCACCCTGTCCCAGCTTTATGGTACACTACTGTATAGCATCCATCACATGATCCCAGGAGCTCATAAAGTCAGAGGTCACTTCCCCATTCCTTCCAACTGGCTGGGCACCATACTGCTGGCTTATCACAGGCTTGATCTTACAGAATTTACACACAGATCATGTGCGGGTAACTGAAATGCATGCAAGCAGCTGTAGAGAGAACTGGCTGTCAGCTGTGCTACGCATTAAGAATAAACACCAGTTGGAAACATGTGGCATGTTCTGAGACACTCATCTGTTACATGGCATACACTTTAAGACACTCATTAGGGGAAATCTTGCTTAGGTCCTTAGGCTGGGGGTTGGGATGGGTGGCAATACTCCCATCTTGTTGCAACCTCTCCTTGAGGTAGTCTGAAGCTGACATCAGCTGGTGGCTCTTGATGAGGTCGAAGTGACTCTCTGCATTTGTGCAGAACCTTTTCTAGAGGGAAGAGCAGTGCATCTAGCTTGGTGCCTTCACCCTTCAATGTTACTTTCCATGGCTGTTGACATGGCAGAATTATCCTTATCCATTCCTCAATAAGAAAACAGGTCTTCACTGTCTAACCTTGTCAGCAGGAAGCTGCTGGGGACAGAACAGAATGAACCTTGGAGAAGAAGACCTTTGGGCCTTGCAAGGAACCCCAACCTGCAAGGCTCTGGACCCCAGCCTCCTCATGACACCCAACACAACATGGCCCACATCACAAATGATGGGACTCCATGCTGAGCCCCACTGGTCCTGTTGCTTCTATGTGCTGTGGGCTCATAAAGCTGCTTTCCCTATTGGGAGTAGCATCTTGCAATTACAAAGCAGGAGAATGTTCAGAAAAGGCTTGGCAGCCAAGGAAAGAGAAGGCATCTGAAGGACAGGGCAGTCTCTGCGTCTCTGCGAGTGGGGACCTCTGCTCCAGAGAGGACTCTGCTGTCCGCCTCACTAACAAAAGTTGGTGTTAATACAACAGTGTTTGAAGTTTTGGTTTTGCATATTTCTGAAGTTTAGCTGTATACCTCTCATCAGTGTGTGTGTGTGTGTGTGTGTGTGTGTGTGTGTGTGTGTGTGTGTGTGTAAGCATGCACATATCTCCACATGCATGAATGGAATAAAACATCTACATTTACTAGCAGGAGCCACTTCAGCAAGTCCACATCTGGCCATCAGGCAAATAGAAGACTTGGAAAGCAAGGCCATTTTCCACGGTGTAGACGCTCACCCTGGGAGTCCGGGGACCCTTACCTTCAGCAGTGCCGGAGAGTCCATCAGCCTTGAAGTTGCTGGTACTTTTCTTCCTCCGGTGCTTCTTTCTGTTGGCGTGGGGGGAAGGGGGCGGGTCAAGCTTGGGGCTGGTGCTGCTGGAGATACTTGGGCTGGAACACACCGAGTCACCCAGCCCCGTGTCTGCAACCAAACCAGAAAAGGCAAAAGAACGCAAAGGTGAGCTCGGAGCACAGAGCAAAGAAAAGGAGGCAAAATCCACTCAAGCAAAGTCCTCCAGCATTAACACATGAGATCCTGCCATCTCTCCTGAGACACCTGTGCAAAAGGCAGCTGGGTAGGAGGCCAGGGGCGTTGGCAGTGAACAGATCTAGGCACTTTTGTCATTGACGCCTCCCAGCCCACAGTGGGCACTGGACTCCGGGAACCTCAGGCTCACACACATGACATCAGGGACAGCAGGATAGTGAACTTCAGATTCTGAAGGTTCCCTTTCATTCCCTTACTGACTGATGTACCAGGAATGAGATACCGACGCGTACAAACCCAAAAAGGGAGACTTGTTCTGAGTGGGTGTGAAGCTGCACACAAAGGGTGAACAATTCCTGACCACCTTCTCCTGTCAGTAATACACATGGCTGTGACTTCACTTGTGGTCAGTGAGAGGTGGTAGGTACAACAGGCCACAACTCTCACCAACAGCCTGCAGGAGTATCTCCAAGCCAATACTGTATAGCTGCAGGCTGAAGAGTCCCTCAGGCTCTGTAGAGAGGTTTTAGGACAAATGGACAGTGTTTCACTTTAAATAAAACTCAGTTGATTATTTACTTTGTATTTACCAAAAAGACTGGGAAGAATCAGAATGGTACACGGTGCAGGGGACAGAGGAGCATGGGTGGAGCACTTCCCCATACCCCAAGTTTTCAGAGTCCCTTTGTTATGAGTTGGGAGTCTTGTAACTTCAAGGACAGAAAAGATACTGACTCGTATCTGCTTGGCTCCTGCTTACTGCCACCCCTAGGAGCTGGGGATCCATCAATGGAAAAGCATCCTGAGATCCCTGCTGACGAGCATCACAGGCGAATGGGTACCCGCCATTTCTGATCCATCCCTGGATGCAGCTGCCCTTTCACTTCTCCCAGGCTCCAGGATTTCCCGATCATGCAGGGGGATCTGTACTGCAAGGACAGCCAGCAGCCCTGAGTCCCACTTCAGCTTGTGGTTTGGCAGGCTGGCTGGAGTGGTGGTGGTGAGGATAAGGGTTTAAATGCACACAGTGGCCCCTGGGTGGGCATGGTGGCACGCAGGAGGAGCTGAGAGTTCTAGAACAGACTGGTCTACATAGTGATACACAGGCTCGCCAAAACAACAAAACCCAACCTAGCCACCTACCAACTAACCAACAAAACATCACCACCAAAACCAAGAAACAAACAAGACAACTCAAACAGTCTGTTTCCCCAAAGTCGCCAGCTACTCTCCAGGACAGCTACCAGACTCCAAGATGGTCACCATCCTGGAGTTTCCCTTCTGAATGCTATCCAGTGCTGACGGCAAACACTTTTGCTCTTCTTAAGTATTTCAAGCCCAGATTGCAAACAATGTACCCACCCCTGCCCAGTGCCAGGCCCACTGACAGTGGCCCATGACTGCCCTGTCCTCCACTGGAGGGCACACTCATCAGACAGGGAGGCAAAGCCACTCACTGATCCTACTTGAAGACGTTCCCATGTAATAAGCCTGAGTGTCCAATTGTCCTGTTGCTTCAGTTCTGCGACCTCTGTGTCAGTAATCCTTTCTCCTAAGCTTCCAAGTCATATCTGTGCTCCAGGGGTCGACAGTGGATACCCTGCACTAGGCTGTTAGCAGTATAATGCTAACCTTCAGGGCAGTTGTGGCTTCTCTTCCCCAGTGCCTTGTAATGCTCAACACAGGGAGGGGAACCGTTATTAAACTACCCTCTACCACCCAACAAATGCCAACATCTCTCTGAGACGCTTAGAGCACATGAACCACACAGAACGGGACAGACCTCTACACATGTGTATCAACCCCATAACTCTCTCCTGTCCATGCACTCTCAGCACACAGACCATCTTGAGTACTGTCTGAGGCTCTGGAAGCTTCCCTCGTTGTAATTTACACCTTTTTTTACAGGTCTCAGTTCTTTGGAACACAAACCTCTAAGGCCACAGCTGAGTTGATGAAAATGGTCCTGAGCAGGGTGGGGTTGGGACAGAGACTCATGTAGTCACTAGCACCAGTCCACACATGGAGGCCTCTAAGAAGCAACACTGAGCCCGAGCTCAGGCAAGGCATTTATTTGTCTCTGTAGACTAGCCACAGGCTGTAATGAATAATAGAATGGTTGTACAAATGCCTGTCCTGCAACAACATGCCTTTGAACTTGCCAAGGAGCAAGGGGGGCAAGGAGACACACACCTGTAATCCCAGAACCCAGGAGGCTGTGGTAGGAAAACACTGTGAATCTGAGGTCACCCTAGGCCAGACAGCTGTTATCAGGACAGTGAAGCCTATCTCACAAGACACTGCCTCAGAAACAAAACAAAAAGAAATGAAAGTGACTTTGGTCTCAGCATTTCACCCTTCCTGGCCTGAAGCAGACAGGATGCATCCCCTGCCTCTTACCAAACACCTCCCTTGCCAAGTCTCCCTTGTTACTACTTTATTTCTGTTGCTCTCTGAAGCAAAGTTCACTAAAGCGTTCCTCCTCACTGCTGGCCACAGCTGTCTTCACCAGTGCCCCTGACAGGCCACTTCAGTGGACAGGCCTCCATGGGCAGCATCTGTTTCTCCTGCATCTGTTGTGGCTTGTCCCTCCATCCTCACAGGGGCAGCCACAGAGAAGTCTGCATAGGACGGTAGGGAGGAAACCACAAAGCAAAAGGAAGGTGCTTGTGAGAGGCAGCCCAAAGCCTGCACAAACCACTGCCCCTCTCTGCCTCATTGGCTTTGCTCTCTCCACATGGTGACAAGTGTCTGTCACAGGAGCATCATTGGCTGGCTATGATGCCAGCTTCATAGATGCAGGATCTGTGTTTTCCCTCTTCACCAGGGTGACAGCCATGGGTGAATTCTACCTGCACTTGCCAGTTTTACTGAAGAACCGATTGCCTGAGGTGCTGACCCAGGTGGGAGGGGACCTGTGGTCTCTGGTGGAACAGCAGAGTGCAATCAACTCTGTCACATCCTTAAAAACTCACCACAAGCACACTTTTGTGTCCATCACTGTCCTGCAAGTTTCCGACCGTCTGGAAGCTATTTTTAGGTGAACGACTACAGCCATGAATGGGATCTATTGACAGTGAGAAAGAGTCTCCCTTACACTCAGCCTATACTTACTGAGCATGCTCTCTGAGCTAGCAGCTGTCAAAGAATAAAGGGCAGAACCCCTGTCCCCATGGAGCTGATTTCTAAGGCCTGAAAAGAATGCCTATCTAATTTCTTGCTTGATGCCTTCAATAAAAGACTGTTTTCCTTGGGCCTTGCCACTGGAGCACAGAATGCTGAAGGGACCCCCGTCTGCAGCAGGCATGCCAACCCCACAGATAGACAGAGGAGGGGAGAGAGGACTCATCCACAGACACACTGTGACTCTGTAGCCTGTGGAGGGGGCCTTCAGGGCCCAGGGACTGAGACTAATGGGAAGACAGAGGGGGCACTGTGTCACAGGGAGAAACATGCAAGAATTGTCTCATACTATGGAAGACATGGAAGTGTTTCCAGTTCTAACCAGTGAGGAAGAAAGCAACCCAGATGAGGACAGGGGTCAACCAGTCACTGCTGTGTGCCCTGGGATGCACAGGGCACAAGACCCCAAGGTGAGGGGCCGTTCTTGCTGATATAAAGACTGAGGCAGGGGGTAACTCTGGCTACAAGAAGAGAAGACCAGGTGCTACCATCTTTCCATCTGCATCTTCCACATATGCCAACGTCCAAACACACCATGGCTCAGGGAAATGTAATTTACCCGCATCTAGCCTTCTTTTCCTACCAGTGGGCAGGCATGGATGTGGTACCCTCTAGGAGTCTGGCCTCTTCACCAAGCTAAGGGGAGAGTAAGGCACACAGATACCCGAGAGACCAAAGGCTGGGCCAGGCATTCTTGGGCAGAAAACAGACCTGTGGCTGCCAGGCATCAGCACATGACTGGGCGGCCTATGTGAGACTTGTACCAGGCTGATGTAATCAGGCACTGGGAAGACGGCAGTGATGGGCATCAAAAGGGGGCAAAGCCCTTGGTCACAGGAGACAGGAGGAGGCAGGGACAGTGACCTTGTTGAGACCTGAGCGGCAGCCGCCTCACAGACATGGTGATGGGTTTCTAGTTACTTAGATTCTGCACACAGTCACCTTCAGTATAAGTATTTATGCCCTGACTTCCAGATCTTGAGAATCCCCAGGAACTGTTTTAATATCCCCCACCCCGATTTAAAATACGAGCAGTCATAGTGTGTGAGGCTTCTACACTGAGTTACCTCACTCCCCATTGCTCTTCCAACCTGACAAGATGTCCCTCAGCCCCACCCTCAGAGTCCACCACTACTCCTGACTGCCTATGAGGAATGCATTTCATTTTGTATCAATTACCAGGCAGTAAGACAAGAGACTACTGTCCGTGGCATTAAATACAGGAGAGAAGCAAGGTGAAGCAAGGCCATCAAATTAAAAAAAAAAAAAGAAGAAGAAGAAGAAGAAGAAAAGCAGTACCTCATTACTCCATGTTTGAATCTGCTTTGGTGTAGGGATCCCCCCAGATATGGGTTGCTGAGCCAAGAAAGGCTGTCCCATCCTATGTGTTCAATGTTGGCTATTAGTTCTTCCCAATCGGGCATCAATGTTCAACACATACCCCCCAAAATATATAACATGAGCAATAATGATCACAATCTGCAGTCTCTCGGAGCTCCGGCACGTGAAGTATGAGTCAAAGAAGCAGTTTCACTTTTCACTCGGGGAGCTGACAAGCATGACCAGAGGGAGAATAAAATAACATTCCACTCGCATAAATATCAAGCAGCCTGCTCGAGACTGATGGGCCAGGAATGTATTCTTAGCTATCATTCCGGCAGACAGGCCCAAGGACACTCATAACTTATTTTACAATCATTTAGTTTCAGCTCAAGTGGAAAACGTGACAACTTATCTCTGCCGACAAGATG